CAGTGGGATGGGGGAGAGAATCGGGGAGAAAAAAAAAAGGTTAGAGCCGTGGGCTGAGATAAAGACAGTTTAATAAGAGATAAGAAGAATAATAGTAATAATGAGAATGGTAAGAGAATATACAGAATATACAAAATGAATGATGCACAATGCAATTGCTCACCACCCGCCAACCAATGCCCAGCCCGTCCCGAGCAGCGGTCACTTCCCAAGCCACGATCACTCGCCGAGCTGCAATCACTCTCCCCACAACCAACCGACTAACCCCACCCCCCCCAAGCATGATGTTATATGGTATGGAATAGCTCTTTGGTCAGTTTGGGTTAGCTGTAATGGCTGTGCTCCCTCCCAGCTTGTTATGCACCTGGCCGAGCAGGAGAAGCTCAAAAAGTCCTTGAGTAGTCTGAGCACCACTTAGCAACAACTAAAAACATCAGTGTGTTATCAACATTCTTGTAGTACTAAATCCAAAACACAGCACTATGCTAGCTACTATGAAGAAAAATAACTCTATCCCAGCCGAAACCAGGACACATTTTTTATTTTAGTTGGTTTTCTAATGTATATAATATTGTAGGAAAAAAATAAACTATATTAAGTTTTTCATACGCAGCAATTTTTGATCTTGGCAGCCCTATCTGTCAGCTTCCTGCTTTTCCCAGTCAAGTTCTCACCAGGCAAAAGCACAGGACTTAACGCTGGGCTGCATTAAACATGTCCTGAAGATCCTCCCTCCTATTCTCTGCTTGCTTCAGACAATACAAAACAGTAGCTCTGTCTACAGTAGTTGACTGTACTTAAGCAGTCCCATATTGTCATCACTTCGTAGATAAGAGTCCTTGTTACTGCTATTCATGTGTGCGCACTTGTGCAGAAGTTCAAAATGGAAATGTCTGCGCTCACAGAACTTGTTTCCCCAGAACAAGCACCCTGTGTGCATGCCCAGCAATTTTTCTTTTACTTATCTTTCCTAACAGAAGCATTTAATCTGTGTTGTATGGAGGAGGAGGATACTCTTTGGAAGTTAAATCTGATTTTTGGCCAAATTGGAAATTAAAAGCATGCATGGAGCTACTTTTTTCTCTAAGCACTCATTTTCCTGTTGGGATGTTTTATAAAAACGCTTTCCCCTATTCAAAAATTATTCATCTTTATTTGTGCAGCTCTTGCACAATTCACAGCTGAGCATCAAAAGATTATAACCTGTTAGCATCAATAAACTGTAAATGACATAGGGGGAAAAAAGCCATCTTGTTATAATACATTGGGAGGCAAATATACTATATAGGAGGTATAATCATAATGAGTATGTTTGTGTTTAAGTAAATGAGGTCAGCTGGCACAGTAATCTTTTGCCAGAGCAATTGCACAAAGGTTTTTTTACGGGAAGTGGGCATTTGGAAATAGATCTAGAAGCTTTTCCTCTCTATATATTTTTCTTCTGGTTGTGAGATTTCCCATGTTGTCATAAAAGGAAGTTCTCCATGTTTCTGTTTGAACCCATTATTTTTCCAGAGCTCCACGTGACTTGCCAGTATCGGACTGGTTACTTACACGAGCCGCAGGTGGTTTCATAATTTCATACCAGGTTTGTGACAGATATCATGGATAAATAATACACTGAGATTAGCATGATGCAGAGCAGGCATCTCTATTGCTTATGCCTTTCCAGCTCTTATCACACCGTGATGGGAGTGATCATGGGGTTCCGACAGTTGGAGGCATGACCAAAAGCATGTGAAGTGTCAGGAATCCTTGGTTACATCTTTGTCCTCATGTGCCTGGGCCCTGCTTTTCAGCAAAGGCAATGAGAAAATCATTGATTTAAACATTACTTTAAAGCCTGCAGTGAATAATTGGTATAAGGTTGTAATACTGGCAGTTTCTTGGTCATGAATTCAATTAATATTTTTTGATCTATTTGTTCACTAAAAGAACGGTGCTGCCACAATCAACAGTAATTGCAGTCTAATTTGCAATTTTTTTTTTTATAACAGTAATTGCTTAAACCCCCTGGGATTAGAGACAGAGTCAGAATAGATGATTGCACTTTTATTTTGTTGACAGAAATACGTTGCTTAGTTCTACCACGTTTCACTGCTGAGAATGCCTCTCTATGCCAGCTGATATAAACTTCCTCTGGTGCAAATTCTTTGGCATTGTGCCTATTTTTGTTACCTATAGGATGCTTAAAATAGATATATGAGATGCCTGGGGCTGTCAGTTAATACTGTACTGATAAGGATTTTTTTATAGGTTTTTTTTACACATCGTGAAAAACAAATCTAGGTTCTTGTATCTTCTGCAAGTTATGACTTTTTTTTCTGCTTTTCTGTAACATAAGTGTGGAATTTTATTGCCCAGAAAGAGTATTTAACCAGATTCTTAGAATCAAATATAAATATTGCAGAGGGCTCCAAAAGTAGAAGATGTGTGTGGAAAACATGCCATTATCAGTCCCAGATTGTGAATTTTTTTTCACCACCAACCTGTGAAACTAACCAAAACCACAGGCCTTTAGAAAGATGAGTGTGCTATTCCATCAGCTTTTTTCTTTTGGCAGGTCACTGTCTTTTTAGGCAAAACTTATTTCTCATATCTAGATCAATCCAGGGAGCGTTTTGTTGTCTTGAAAAATTACATTATGCGTTGGGGAACATTTGCAGAAAGGAAGAGAGAACTGTCCAGACTGTAGAAGTGCCCAGTCTACTTCACATCACCAAACTGTGAGGCGTAAGTGGATAGGCACCCAGCACTGGCACAGGAAGCAGCATTCAGCTCTGGCGTAGTTTTTGTAGGTCTTTGTAAGTTAGGCACCTAATATAAGGCTTCCCATTTACATTTGGCAACTTTGACCCTTGGTATGTACTTTCTTTGTGAATAAAATTATGTTGTGTTATGAAACCACAACACTAATAAAATTGACTCTTGTATATGATGAGCCTAACTTGGAAGGTAATGAACTCTTGGTCATAAAATACAATCATGTAAAGGCAAAGGACAAATTTATGCTTTGTTATGCAAAGAACTGGGACTAAAGGTATAAGGTATAATATGTTTTAAGAGATTCTTGCATGCAGTTTACTCCAGTTGTCTTCTTAGCAGAGAATCCCAATGATCAAGTCAGTTAGCATATCAATATTGTGTAAGCTTTTTTCAGGTAACAGTAAAATTAAACAGTAATGCACAGATCTATTGTAATGCCAGCAGAACAAAATTTTTGTGCATTTTCTGCCTTTGTGTGTCAGGGATCATGGTCAGACAATCAGAGAATTCAGATGTAGATACAAATTCTTTCATGGCTCTGACCTACTCTCATCTCTTAAATGGCGATGACTATGTTTGCCACCCACCACTGGAAAGCACTTCACAAATACAGTTTGTTCAATATGAACATGAGTTACTGACTTATCTGTCCAGTCACTACAGGTTCTATCAAGTTACGTATCTTAGAAAATACATGTGGACAGGATCTCACAAGGTGATCCTTTGCAGCACTGAGTTCTGTGCTAGGAGCTATGCAAACTTAAGCTTGTCAGAAATGCAGTGAAACTTTATAGTTAAGCATTTGCATGTGATATTCATTTATTAAGCCACAATTTATTCCCATTATCATTGAAAAGTGCACAAGTGCTTTTTGACAAGAAGCAATTCTAATCCTTCAATTGACTTAAGGTCAAATACAGCTCCTGGTGGCTCTTGGCAGCTGGGAATGTTGAGCTGCCACTCATAGGAGCAGACTGAAGTCAGAGCCCACTCATGTAACCACACTAGCCCTCATCTCTTTTAAGAGTTAGGAGATTCAATTTTATACTTCTTATACACACAGGAAGTAAGTATGGAATCTAAGAGGGAATTGCCGTAGTAAATCAGTCAAGTATTTCCCCGTTCTTGTGGCTGCTCCAAAATAAGATGAAAGACAGCCATAGAAGAGGGAAGTCTGTAAAAAACTATCCCCAAAACTGACCCTGAAGGAACAGAGGTGTAAATGTGTGGGCCGTCAGGCAGCAATTTTTATGTTTCTGTTGTCAATTATCTGGTTTTTGGTTTTTAAATCTCTTGTAGCTCTGGGTATTTCCAGGAAAAGGCAGAGATTTAGAAGGAGTTAAAAAACTTATTTTTATGGCCTAATTGTGAACTGCGTAGAAAAGTACTTACTTCTCCCATTACATTTTTTTTTAATGTTACTGGTTACCTTCTTGTTTATGGGTGAGATGTAAATAGAAATTCTCAGTCTATTGTCTCTAAAATTTTAATTAGTCTGTATTTATAATGCTTCCCTTCTGTGTCTGTTTTTTAATGATATTGATTAAATTGTAAAATAGCAAAGAAGCATAAAGCATCAGAAGTACCAGAGAAATAGAATAATTAGGAAATCAGTAAACTATTGGATAACATCAGCGAGACATCCAAATAACACCTAATAGCCAGAATCTTGGTAGTCCAAATATTGGAAGAAAGATTCAGTGAAATGCAGATATGTTGTAATGATTTATAAATCTTAGAGGACAGTTAATGTGCCACACAAATTCTAGCAGTCTGCTAATGTAGATTCAGACAATTTCGGGGTTTCGATAATTATATCTGCTGATCATGGACTAAAATAATACCAAGTAGAACCAAATAGGGAAGTATAAAGATTAATTTCAGAAATAATATAATGCAGAAAGAAAAGAACCATTGAACAGATATTAAATGAATAATTAAGTATACGGTGGCAGTTTTTCATTGAATCATCTTAGGCAGGTACTAATCAAGCAACTCAAGATAGTAAAATGGGTAGATTAAAGTGGTTTGCCAATTACTAACTCAAAAATAAAGAAGTAGTTGATATTGTTATTGCAGTTGCTTTTGTGATGGGAACAGCTATCTGCATTACAGACTTGAAAATGCCTGGCAAGGTGAGGTGCCTGAGAGGGAACCAAGTAGCTGTAGGACACAGTACTGTTTCCGTATCAGCCTTCCTTCAGCCAGTCATCCTGCTTCTCCCTTTGAGACACAAAATAATGACAGGGCTTGTCCCCCTCTGTGCCCTGCTCAGAAAGGGAGGCGTAAAGACTCAAAGTCAGCAGAAGATTGGGTATTGGGCTTGATTTATAGCTGCAGCTGTAAGGGTCTATTTAAACTACAAATACTGAATCAAAAGGCGGTGATCATTCTAAAAGCAGCCTTCCTTCAGGCCTGACCTGAAAAGTTTTGCATTGGTTTCAACTGAACTGCTAAAGTTGGCTTTAATAGAGGAGTAGTCAGAAAAGTGTTGAGCTCTGCCAAGATAAGGAGTGTACGTCAGAGACACACACCTGCTAGAAGTCTTTACTTGTCAAACTAATGGAGGTTTAGTGAAAGACTTATTTAAGACGTTTCATTTGTCTGCTTTCGCCTGTCCCTCATTCATTTGAATGAAAAAAAAAAAAAAAAAAAAAAGAACCCAAGAGAAAACCAGCAAACAACCCATACCCAAAACCCCAAACAATGCCAGCATGCCTTACAACAGATACTTTGACCAGTACCTATGGGAAATAGGTCACTGTATTTCACTAAATTCCGGGATTTGGGGGCCCCCTGTTGCAAATTTAGCCCAAACAACTTGATTTTGCAGATCCATGCTTGAAATCAGTTATGTGTAGCATTGATTCAGAGTAATTTTGTTGAATTCCAGAAAAAACATTCTCATTCAAAGGAATGTTATAACAAACAGCCCTGAGCAAAAGTGTGAAACATATTAAAAAGTCTGAAGTTTCAATTTGAGCAAGAAATGCATTTCAGTGGAAATAGACAGAATTTAAAATGCTGAAGTCATTAGTTACGAAAACATACATTCTGCACGGTAATCTTCCAGTCCTGCAGGAAGTACTCTGAGAAAGATCTTTCCCTTTCCTTGTGAAAGTTGTAATGTCTCTGTTCCCAAAACAGGTAATTTGTCACCTTCATAATGTGTCAGGGTCAGCCGATTATCTCTTTTTAGTTTTATTTTGCATGTGATAACTCTGTACATATCAAATACTGCTAAGCACTCTAATGTAGAAGGTGATTCTGGGAAGGTTCCTATTTTTAAAACCCAGAGCAAGGTGTTAAAGGGCTAAAAATATCTCTCACCTAAAGGGCAATAGCTTTAGGGAAAAAAGAAGATACTAGGCTGGGGAGACGTTCAGCAGTGGATCTCAGGAATGCGGCTGCCGTGTTAAAGCACTGTATTCTGGGAAGATGTGGAAAATGAGGTTGTACCTACTCATACTTGACATTTCAAGATGTAACTGCTATTTAGTCTTACAGTCTTAAGAAAGTTCTTGAGCAGATGTTTTCTAATATAGACATGCCCATATTATATCTCTAGCATCTTATATTTGCCGAAGAACTTATTTCTCTGCTGGACTGAAACAAAATACTTCCCATTTTGCATTACTGTCCTGCCTGTGGGTGTCCCGCGTGCTTCAAAGAGCTTTCTGGTCACAAAGGACTTAATCAGGACCCACATGTTATAGTCTGTAGCCAAGAAGTAATTTCTAAATGTTATCTTTTATTGAATCTACAGGTAACATCAGAAATACTGAGAAACTGAACTATGATAAACAGCACCAGTATGAGATAATGGTAACAGCTTTTGACTGTGGGCAAAAACATGCAACAGAAGATGTCTTAGTACGAGTTAATGTCAAACCAGTGTGCAAACCAGGCTGGCAAGGTAAGGTTTAATAGCTTATATATTTTATTTTTTGTTTAAATCTTTTTTCTTTGGTGTTTTCTCTCTACCTCACAGTAAGGAAACTAGGGTGCTCATTGCAGTGGTATAGAAAACTGTTGCTACTTCTTATGCTTACTTCATTGCAAGCCTGTTAAAAAAGTGGATAATACTCCTGTATTTGTTTACATTTGCTATGTGTCTTCTCTAGACAGAACAAAGAACAGGTTAGAAATAAAGAAAAAAGACAAATCTTTATTCTAATAAGCTATTTTATGATTCAGTCTGAATATATTAAAAGGTTAAAGAAGTGCTTCTGATTTGCCTTTTTCCTACTACTCCTTTAAATAAAACTTCTGAAGACACCATGACAAGGTACTTTTCCCATGTGTGCCCGAGTTGTTCTGATTATCTTGTTCCAGGTACAGAATTGGCTTTCATGTGCATGCATGCATGAGTCAAGGCACACTCAACTGGCAGTGGGAGTGAAAGGCATTTTTTTTATCCTGATTACTGTCTTCATATTGAGACATTTCAGTAGGAAATTATTTTCTAAAAAGGTTGTAAGAATCTGCAGTCTAGTCTGTCTAAAATGGGGAAAAAGCCAGCTGGTAATGTACTAGGAACAGAGATATGCCACAAATTATAAGGAATTAAGATGAAAAAGAGGGCTGGATTAGGGACAAACTAACTGGATGTAACCACATTATGCAGATGTCATTCAGGACTAACCTGACCTTCATAATTGTAATTTTTAAAGAGAATGATTGAGAAGGAAAAAAAATCAGTTTGGCTGTTTTACATTAAGGTAAATTTGCAGACTGACATTTAGAAGGAAAAAAAATTTTCTTTGTCAAATGAGAAGCTCTGGTCTAGAGGACCTTGTGGTGAAATAAGTGTGCAATATCACGATTCCATTCCAGAACCACATTTTAATTTGTCAGCAATGTTCCCCACCCACCCAAGTATTTTTATTTAAAAAAAACCAGAGTACCTGTGAACTATTTCCACATTTTCTAACTGATCTTATTGTTCAAAACTCCATGGTTTATTCTATAAAACCAATATGGTCTCTTTATGCTGTAGAAATGTTCTGTTTCCATTTTATGGCGTCATCTCAACTAAATTAAATACTCCCAAATTCTAGCTTGGAATTTTTATTAAAATGGGCATAATTGTTGATTTTTTTAATATTTTTTTTTTAGTTTCCATATTATTTCCATTTAGGTGTTTTATTGATTGGATAATTTTTGCAGAGGTACCTTCCTAATGTTTGTATTGCCCAATATTGTCATACTCATTTCATAGTTCAAGCATCAGTTACGGGACAGGTAGTTATTGCTGGTCTCATCAAATGGGTATAGACACCAGGTAGCCAATAAACGTAATAGAAACAACATCAAATAAGGTTTGTTTGGGATTGGGTTTGGTTTGGGTTTTTTTAATGCTTTGTTCATCTTAGATTGTGTGAAGTGTTTACAAGGTAATTAAGTTTTTAATGAAAAGCTGGAATCCACCTGTTTTTCTTTTATGCATGCAGAATTTATTTTCTTCTCTTCTAGAAGCCAGAGCTATATGTGGATGATGGTTTGGTTAACGCTAGGTATGTAATATGAGAGGCTGCCAGTTTGTTATTTTTAGAGTGATGGTGAGAAAATAGACAGAAAACAGCACATATAAAGCAACAACTCTTAAAAAAGGATGCAGTACATAAGTTTAAAGCAGCTTGTCTAAAGCATCTCAGATAGGAAAGGATATCCTTTGATGGCGTACATTATGCTTGAATTTGGGCTTATTGCCCTCTATAACTACCTGAAGAGGTTGTAGTGAGGTGGGGGTCAGTCTCTTCTCCCTGGTAACGGGCGACAGGATGAGGGGAAATGGCCTCAAGTTGTGCCAGGGCACGTTTAGGTTTGACATTAGCAAAAAATTTTTTCACTGAAAGGGTTGTTAAGCATTGGAACGGGCTGCCCAGGGAGGTGGTAGAGTCCCCATCCTTGGAGGTATTTAAAAGAAGGATAGATGAGGTGCTTAGGGACATGGTTTAGTGGTGGGATGGCAGGGTTAGGTTAATGGTTGGACTTGATGATCTTAAAGGTCTTTTCCAACCTAAATGATTCTATGATTCTATTTTTTGTATTTTTTTTTAAACATAATTAGAGGCTTTCCATACTAAGAAAAACACTATTATCTTCAGCACATTCATTTGGGTTCTGTCCATTCCTCCAGGGCTCTGCCTCTGTTTCAGTTCTATGGACACAGCCAACACTACATTTTTTTCCTGTAGATTCACTTCCATTGTGGTACTTTTCACTACAGTATCACAGATGCTGATTTCTGTAAAGTTACTTCTGCCTTATTCAAAGCAGGGTAGACAGACCTCTGGCAACACAATAATTAATATCCAGATAGTATTTTCATTAAAAAACATGAGATCACATAAGAAACAGTCAAAAACTTGTAATCTAGACCATGTTTCCTGTAGCTCATTTATGGTACCATAATATTGTCTTTTCTCATTTCTGCTACTTTTAGGAACAGTCTTCATAAAACTGAAGAAGTTACTGTCCCCCCTAGTGGGATAACAAATAGAAATAAAATATAGAACAATGTGCTGAAAGATGCAAGATAGCAGAAAGTTGAAAACAATTATTCCTATACCAAGCTCTCTGGTGAATAATGTACTACATGGGGAGAAAATAAAGATGAGTTTAGCCTCCAAAAATGAAGGGCAGAATCATGTTCCCAAAAACTTAAAATATGTTTTGAGACCACTAGAGGTCTATTGACAATTAAACCAAAAGTCAGATTGTTCCCTAAAATGTAACTGATTTCAGACAAGAAGCAGTTATTAGAGCATAAACCAAAAAAGCTCCTCTAAACCAATCAGCCGAATACCCCAAGAAAGTATCAGAGGACTCGGCCTTTTCTGAAACAAACGGGGAAGGTTGAATGTGTTTCTTGGGGAGATAGGTATGTAGCAAAGACAACAGTCCAACAATTAAAAGTCACATTGTCTCCTGTGGCCAAGGAGGACTTAAATTTTTTTTCTGCCAAATTTAATATGGCCCTTGCATAAGCAATGCTCACTAACCTTCAATTTAAGAGAAGATTAGGACTCTGATTAGAAAACAGGATTTCACAGCATCCAGCCTGAAGTGTTTTACTAATTTGAAAAGATATCCTACACTTATCTGGAAGTCCCATGAACCCATGTACACACTTAACCTGATTACCTGAGGTAACAATATAAAGTAGAAATTCCTTAAAAATTCATCTTAAAAAAAAAAAAAAGTTCCTTAAATATTCACTTACTTTCCACTTAGTGTTTACTTAAAAATAGTTTTGAAATAAAAGTTTCTCTTTGTTAATTTACCTAATAGACTATAAAAATAATTAATAAGGGTAGTTAAGTATCAAAGATATTGTATGTTACTTTTTTTTTAAGGCATGTAGGGCTCACTAAGGTGACCTAGGGTTTTGCTACCACCAAAAGGCACGTTCTTACTATTCTGATGTTGAGTAGTCATTCAGAGGCCATGTACAGGTCATATCAGCTCACTTTGCCTGCTGAAATATAATGTTTGTTTTGTTCAGAGAAGGGCAGGACCTTCTCTTTTAGTAGCAGAGTGATCTTAGATCACTTCAGAGTCAACACACTACGTATTTGCAGTAGATGCTGAGTGATTTTAGAATGCTATTCATGTGGGCTTTCTAGTAAAATCCAATTACAGAGGAAAACCAAAGCTGTATTGGCTTTTGAGCTGTCAGTGCTTTTAACAAGGAGCAATATGATTACTAAAGCAATTGGTTATTTGGAGGAGGGTGGTCAAGTACAGAAACCTCTCTTATGAGAGTAATATTCCTAGTCTTCAGGAGCAATTTTAAAGGCCAAAATATTTCTGCAATAAATATAAATCAATTCCTATTCTTCTGGTGCGCACACCTAGCAGTGTAAAATGCACCGCTTGTGTTGTCTTAGCTATAAAGATATTTAGCCATATTTTTAGAAATGAAATTTATTGCAAAGCAGGGAGCATTTATGCCAATCTAGTCTTGGAGCTGCTGTGCATGCATTAGTCATACATCCTTAAAACAAGGTTATCGTAACAAAATGCTTACATTCAGCTATTAACTTGAATGGCACTGTTTTAGTAGAATACCCAGTCTTTAAATACACATTTCAGACATTTGAAAATTAATTGAACTTCTGAGTACATTTGATTTTTGAGCTCAAAGTTTACATAAGTTCATATTTGTTTATGTACTTATATCAGCATCATTTTTTCTTTTGTTTGACTACCAGACATTACTTAGAGAAAGCAGCCATACCTGTTTCAATCCAGTTTTTAAGATATGCTCTCCTTTTCTCAGCAAATTCTGTGTATGTCTTACAGCTAAATACATCTTTCCTGAACACTCCAGATAAGGTGTTTTGACACGTTTCTTTTTACCTTAGTCTCTTACTGAAAACACAGTGCTTTATATATTCCAACACTACCTTTCTTTTGCCTGGCTATAGCAGACTGATGGCTCATGGACATGCTGTTACTGACTTAATGCAATCAGCTCTTTTTCCATGTGTCATTTTTCAGTCATGACTCACAAGTTTGCTGAAGTTCCTGAGCGTGAACTAGCACTTTGTATCGTTACTGTGAAGCAATATTTCTATAACGCCAGTTCTCAAGGTCATCTTATTCTGTGCTTGGGATATCCTCTTTCTGTATTGACTTCCAATGTAGAATTGCCTTCCAGTTTTGTCGCTAGCAGAAGTAATTAACACAGTCCTGGTTTTGTGCCAAGACCATTAATGGGAAATCTCAAATAACAATCCCAAGGCAGATTCACAGGGACCTTTACTAGTTACTTCCCTGTGTACCATGAACTTTAAATTTTCCGAGTAACCCATTATTGCTCTCTTTTTAGGCAGTTCTGTATATATGTTAGAATTGAAATACTAAAGCCTGTCTTTTCTGTCTTAACTGATGCAAGAAACCATTCAT